CCCCCTGAGGACAAAGGCCGTTGTCATGAGCTGTTTGTAGGAGACACAGAGCAACTGACTCTATTCTTTGCTGAGCCATCACATGGACTTCCAGCTTGTGAACAAAAATGTGACTGTATGTGCTGACCATCTCTGTCCTCTGAATGGAGGCCACCCATAGGCAGGCTTTGGAGCAGCCCGGGTAGGGGCAGCCTGGGGCCCAGAGACTGGTCAGCTGGAGATGTTTGCTGCAGTCTCTTTGTGGGGCGGACAAGGACCCTGCCCATAGTGGAGCCCAGTGGGGGTCAGGACAGGCCAGCTGGCCAGCGAGTTAGCCAACACAGAGAAACATGAGAGGGCCTTCAAGGGAGCATGTACATGGTATGGGGGCCACTGTCCCATCACTCTTAGGTCTCTCATTACACCTGAGGGACAGCGAGTGGTGGGGGGTTGGGTTGTATTCAAATCTTTTGGGAATGTGGAATTTGGATCTTGCCTGGACCCAAGATTCTGATGAAACACACACACTCATGTCCCATTGATGCTGAGGTTCATAAATGCCAAGATGGGAAAGACCCTTTAAGTGGCATGCCAGTGAAGCCATCCCGGGAACAGGCCTGGGCATGCAGATTTGTGGTGTGGAGAAATGAGCGCTAGACTTCAGGGGCCTGGGGTTCCATCCTGAGGGAGTCGTCCAGCAAACATCATTGTCAAATGCTGACTGATGCCAGTGCTCAGGGGGCATCAGCAAATGGGCTGCGGGGGGACTGAATGCCCACAGCCCCCACCCAAGAAGCCCACATGCAGGGCAGTGCTTCTCGGAGCCTGATCTGAGGGCTCCCTGCTCAGAACCCCCGAGGCACCATCTAACAGGCAGATTCCCACACACAGCCTCCCCCCCAACCAAAGTTCATCAGTTGTGAATCTGTAGGGCTGCAGCCTAGGTTTGCATTTTTAACAAGCTCCCCCAGGATGTTTTATGCACAGAAAGTTGAGGCCCAAGTTATTCTATGCTGTCGCTGCAGGGGACTGAGTGACACAGAGAAGAGGCAGAGAGAAATGATGCTGGGCCTGACCTGGAGCCCCTCCAGCCCCCAGGGGTGCTGGCTCACCCAGGATCCTCACCCCGTTAGGCCAGGACAGGGTTAGGGGCGGGGTGCTTCAACAACCCCCCAGGGGACAGTCTCTGCACACTCAGACCTTGCCTGCTGGGGGGCATGTGGGTCTGGTTCACCTTTGTGTGGAACACCACTGTGCCCCAGATGGACAATTTCAGACCCTGGTCCTCTGTCTCTACCCTTCCTCACTTACACAGCACACTGTAACCTGCGACACACGTGCTCTTCAGGCCAAGGACCCGCCTCCATCATCCTTCTCTCCCTCCGGCCCCACGGGCTTTGACACATTGAAGGTGCTTGATAAATGTCTGTTCATTTAATGTAATCTGCTGAATTGAGGCAGAAAAGGGCCTGGTGGCCTATAGGCTCTTTTCCTTGGACCCAGCCAGCAGGAGTGCAGAGAGGGCCTGCAACTGAAGCCCCTACACCTCCCCTGGTGAAGGAAATATTGATTCTGCTGTTTGTTTTGCAAGGAAGCTGTCCCCACTGGGGCAGCCAGATCGAGTGCAAGTGAAATGGAAACTGTGGAGGAGGCAGTGCTCTTGCAGCCGTCTATTAATAGGGTGGCCCAGGAGTGTCCAGGCGGAGGAGAGGCCTGTGCCCCTGAGAGGGCCAGCCTGGAGCTGGGGGCCTCGGCGGGTTACTCTGGAGTCCTGCCCTCCCACCCACCTCAGCTCAGCTCCTCTCCACACTGCAGCAGAGATGGGGAATTCAGCAATGTCAATCCAAGTCACCTTTGAAGCAGGAGCCAAGTTGAGTAGCCTTGGCCCAGGACTCCAGCAAAGGGCTCCTAAAACCCCTGCTGGACAAGGGTCAGCAGACAGACATTTGGGACCTGCAGGGAAACAAGCTTTTCCTTTCTGCTTCACAGGAAAATTTGAGTTGAGCAAAACAGAGCCAACCCCAGCAGCCATCTGGATACCGCACAGTCCAGCAGCTAAATTTAGGGTACAGGTTACCCAGAACAGTTCTTGGAGGAGCCTTCCTAAATATTGGGGCTTCATGGCCTTTAAAAGGGGTGCTAGTGCCTGCAGTGCAGGGCAGATGAGGCCACCACGTTCAGCTACACAAACTGTGCACTGAACTACTGTGGCTTCCCATTCTCGGTTCTACTGTATTGTAATAACTTGCAAGGACATGCAGCTGGCCTCCTGGGAGAGCCCAGCTAGCCATTCTGAAAGAGGCTGCCTAAATATCAAGAAATGGGGCAGGTAGCAGAGCAAGAAGGCCCAGTGTTCAAACCCCTTGTGTTGCAGACAAAAGCAGAGGCCCAGAGAGTGAAGGAGCGTGTCCAAGGTCACACAGTGTCTGTGGCAGAGCTGACAGTAGGGCTGGGCCTCCTAGCTCCCAGGCCCCGCTTGTGCCTTGCCACCTTTTCTACTCTATTCTTCTGATATTTCACCTGCCCTGGCACCAGTGGGGCAGGCAGCCTTGAAGGAAGACCCCATTCTAAGTTTTCTGCCTCTGCCCAAGCAGCATTCTAAACTGTGCTTAGGCTGGGCTGTCCTTTCTGCCTTCTGTTTGTTCAGGCTTTGGCCCATATGGTTAGTGCATTTCACACTCCCCCTCCTGCACTCCCCAGATTGTTTCCTGTAGGTTTGGGGTTTTATTTTTTGCATCTGCCCCACCAAACCATGTGAGTTGATGTTCAAGACCTTAAAATTCAGAGAGCCTTCAGAGGAGTAAATTCCATCCAGCTCCAAGCGTCTTGCCCAGGCTCTGCATTCCTATCCAGACCTATGTGAGGCCCAGGGGGCCCAGGCGCATGCTGAGATCACCACTCATAGGGCGGCTGCATTTCAGTCTCTAGGCTGCAGGAGCAGGGTCCAAAGTCCAGGCTGCTGAGAGCTGAGGGTCCCCAGTAGCCCTTCTAGGACCTAATGCCTTCAATGCCCAGGCCCTGAGCTAGGGTAAGCAGATTCGACCAGGGTCGCAGAAAACCAAGGTCAGTGAGGGTGTGGTAGAGGCCAGCCAGGGGCTCTTTAATTTATTCATTCATTCACTAAATACACAAATTTAGCTTATTTAGCACCTACTGTGTGCCTAATCAAAACAAGCATCCCTGCCTTTATGGAGCTCACTTGCTAGTGGATGGAGACATGTAATTAAATAAACAAGTAAATGTCAGGTGGTGGAAAATGTCCCAGAGAAATAAAGCAGAGAAGGAAGTCAGGAAGTGCAAGGGTAGACAGTCAGGCGCGCTGTGGCTTTAAAAGCCTGTTTGGATAACATTGGAGCAAAGCCCTGAAGCGGCTGGGGGGCCATGTGGGCAGGAGCACTCCAGGCAGAGGGATGAAAAGGAGCAGGAGCCTGAGGGAGGGGTGCGCCTGTCCTGGGCAGGGAACACGTGGGAGTCAGTGCCCACATGTTTTCGAACTGGGCCCCTCTGACTGCCACGCTGCGGAGTGGACTGAAAGGGGCAAGGGCAGCGCTGGACACAATCAGGAGGCTCCGCGTCCCCGCCCATCTCCAGACCCGCCCTCTGTCTGGGCTCCCAGTCCACGCAACCAGCTGCTTCCTGAGCAGAGTCTCAGATGCCAGTGGGCACCTCATCACCCACGTAGCCTTCCAGATCTCAGCCTCCTGCTGGGTTTCCTGACTCAGACCTGCAGGTCCAGCCCTGGTGTCATCCCTGACTCCTCCCTCCCCTTACCCCTTCAGTGGCTCATCACCATCAATTCTACTTGATCAGTGATCTCTGTTGTCTGACCCCCTCCGTCCCCGTGGCCATGGGGCCAGCCAGGCCCTCGCCCAGACTCCCCTGGATCACCATAAAGGCTTCCAAGCGGATCTCTCTGCATCCTGTCCCAGTCCCTCCAGCCTGTTCCCCCACTGTCCAGAGACCCCAGGCCTCAGGTAGAGCCCCCTGTCCTCACAGGCTCCAACTTCACCTGCTCGTTCACACCCACATGCACCCCCACAGGAGGAGCAAGGCTTCCTCACGCCGCTTCATTTCCACCTTTGCCCTCACTGCTTCCTCGGCCCCTTCCACCTGAGAAGCATTCACTCCTCTGCTGGCCCTGCCACCTCCTCCCTGAAGTCTTTGCTGCCAAGCCCTCCACCAGGTGGTCTTTCTCTCTGCCTCCAAACCCCCGACTCTGCCACACGCAGGTCTTTGAGAAGTGTCCAGTGAAGAATTAAGGACACTCACTTCCCCCTGAAATCCTTCCTTTGGCACCCATCCACATCAGGCCCTGAGCTGTTCCCACTGGGCTGGGTGCACAGAAGGCTTTCAGTACCTGTTTGGCAAATGAGTGGCCAAGGGAGTGTTCGTTTCTTGGCACCCACTTACACCAGCCTGCACTCGCTGCTGCAAAAAGAGAGAAGTTAGGGAAGCCCCTGGGGAATGGGTCCCAGCTGGCCTGTGGCAGCCATGGGCTTCACTAAAAGGATACAGCTGGGGTGTTAGAAGCCCAGGGCATGAGGCTGTGTGGTGGCAGCTCCAGGGGGTTGGGGTTACTTTGATTGGTTCCCACACATTGAGTCTCATGCCACCCATCCCAAGCTCCAGGTCACTTTGGCCTGAAGACCCAGGAGTTCTGTAAATGGAGCCCAGTCATCTCTGAGCTCAGCTTCTGGAGCTGTTGCTGGTGTCCTAGAGCAGCTGCACAGGCACACTCTGACCAGGGGCGGCAGGGCCAAGGTCGGCGGGGGGCACCCCACAGAGAAGCCCAGGATCCGTCTGGCAGCAGGCCTGAGGCAGCTTAGGGAGCAGAGACCTGGTCAGGCCCCTGCCAGGCCAGCTGCAGCTCAGGCTTGTCCCCAGGTCAGTTCACACTTGGGGGTCAGTAGACTTTTTAGAAGGGATAATAGGTCCCCTTCCCAGCCACTCCAGGGGTCTGGCTTTTCTGCCCAAAAGAGGAGGAGGAACAGAGAGCTCGAGGTGACCTTGCTCCTTCTCAGGGACAGCCAAGAGGAGAAGACTCTTCCCCCATCTGTTGGGAGCACAGGGACCATCTTCTGGGGGAAGCTCCCTGACCTACAGGTAAGCTGACCCAGGAATGTTACACCTGACTTGGAGGCCTTGTTTAAAAGCTCTTGGTTGTATGGGTTTTTAAGGCTCTTTTCCTACCACACAGGTGCTCTCGGGGGCTTTCCTCTCTGCCTGGGGGCTGTGGAGGCATGCAGGAATCAGCAAGCAGGGGCAGAGGGGATCTTGAACACCCTAGCTGACTTGGAGTGGGATGCGGATTTCCTGGCAGGGGTGGGGGCAGTACTGGGCAGAGGCTGTTACCCAAGTTGGAGAAAGAACATCTCAGTCATCAGGGTACCTTGTCTGGTGGCTTGTTGACAATTCCATGAGTTCTAATGTCTGAGGTTCAAAAGTGGAGAAATTCAGTCATTTACCCCAGTGCTTTGTTAATAAAACCTGGTTGGTTTGGAACCATTCAGACCCCAGAAGACCTGGGTTGGATTTTCCCATCCTTTCCACATGGAAGAGTAGGAGATAATATCAGCAGGTGGAGTGCGGGGTCTGCGTTGAACAGACCCACAGGACTTCTGTTCTCCCTGGGGCCCCCTCCCCCTGGACCCTGGTGATTCTGAGTCCTCTTGGACAGCAGAGTGTGTGGGTCCCTCTTCCTGCAAGGCGGCCTCTCCCCCCACTCCTCTGGGCAGTGGTGAGAGGGAGATGGGGAGACAGCCCCCAGGGGATGTGCGGGCAGAACCAGGCGGTCCAGAGAACCTTTCCCCAACTACTGACCCTTTGGTACCTAAAACCCAGACTCTGAAACCCAGTGTCTACACCTGGGAAAGGCCTGCCTTGGGCCCATTCTACCAGTTTAGGTATCTTGGCCTGGAGCAGCTTGAAATTCCAAGGAAGGACTCTCATTTTAAACCCAAGAGGTGAGAGAAAGGAGGGGCTCACCTGAGGCCAGGTCTGCAGGTTAATACGCATGCTCCTCAACCTTCCTTTCCATCCTCCCCACTTTGAGGCAAGCTACCCAAGAGTGTCAGCCTGGGAGCAGGGTCCTCATCCTTTCCCTGACAGGCACTCACTGTGAGCTCTTGAGCCTCTGTTTCCCTACCTGTCAGACTCAAATAACCATGCCTGCTCCACCCGCCTTGTCAGGCAGCTATGAGCCTGAGGTGAGAGGTGTGGTGTGGCAGGCCTTGGAAAAGGGGACAAAATGGAAAGGGTGTCGCTAGAGTTATTATACAGCAGTGGTTGAAGTTTCCGATTTTTCTGCCTGGCACGTCGCTGTAGTCTCCTGGGATGGCTGTATTCAGGGAGCCGATGCCGTAGGCTTTGTGGAACACGCGGTGATTTCATGGTGCAGCCAGGCGCTGGACTGTTGGGGGAGGGGCACCATCTGGAACTGACTGGCGTTTTCCTGAAGTTAGAGGCCATCCGCAGACTTCCTGCCCAGCTTCTCTGGACCCTGGAGTGATTCCCACCTGGACCCACGACCAGGGACATTTCATTCCCCCTGGTTGATTTGTGTCCCAAATTCTCAAGATCCCGCCCCCAGCCCCAGCGCCATCCTTTGCCTGCTTCTTTTCATCGTTGTTCTGTAAACACGTTAAAAATTGCCTCCTGTTTCAGTTCCCCACCTCTCCTGCAATTTTCTGGCCTCCCCTGATTTCACCCTCCAGGATTGAAATTCTTTCTCCCGGTCTCCGTGAGCAATTGGTGAAACAGAAAAAGCAGGAAATTAATGTCCCAGCCTCGAGGCTCCACACAGCATTAGATGGAATTAAAGTACAATAATGAGTCAATACACACACAACTCTGTTGTTCTTTGATTTTCCTTTCAAAATTCATGTAGTGAACGCTTCCTCTGTCACACACCGTCTTCAGCTGGGAGACTTGATAGCATCCTGAATGGATTTACATACCAAATGGGTTTAATTTTATACTTTCGCTTAAGGTCAGGACATTTATTTATTATCATTATTTATTACTGAAGCACGAGTGGTTTTAATTATTTTAGTGTTCCTCCTACAAAGCAGGATCACTGCTAGCTATGGAACATTTTCTGTTTCCGCTCACATAAATAATATAGTTTTTAATTTCACGAAGATTTAGTATTCATCTGCTTTGTAAATGAAAGTCATCGTTTACCACAACAGAGACAGAGGGTTCAGAACACGGTGGTGGACTTCCTCAGCGTGTCCTCGGTGGTCACTTTTCCCACCTTTGGTTTTCTAGGTGCCCAGAAAGGGACCTTCAGATGGGCTGGGAGGGAAGAGGGCAGCGGGGTGTGGAAAGGGAACAATGCAGGGGGTGGGGGGTGGCTTGAACCCCCTTCTCTCATGAGGTATCACTTGCCTTTTACATATATCACCCTGTTTGCTCCCCCACAAAACCCTTCCAAAGCCTGGATTTCTGTCTCCACCTCACAAATAAAAAACCTGAGTCTCTACACATTAACTAACTTGCCCGAGGCTGCTCAGATCCCAGCTGCAGGTTCAGATCCACATGTGTCTGACTCCAGGATGCAGCCCCTTTTCCCCCTTCCCACAAGCCCTCTCTGTGCCAGGGCCTGGGTGGAGGCTGCTGGGGGCTGCAGCCAGCATAGGTAGGAGGAGAAGCACAGAGAAGGAAGGAGCCGGCGGGGATGGGTGAGGGCCGCGACTGCCGGCCAGGCCGTGGGCATGACCGTGTGTGTCCTGGTGTCCTGGTGGAGGCGGAGGGCATCCTGACTTTCTGGGGCAGAGGCCCAGTCTTGCCTCGGGGCAGTGTTCCCAACAGGCAGCCAGGAGATTGAATCCAGCCCCCTGGGGTCACTGAATCTCGTGGGATCCCCCTCCCCTTTGCCCCTCCCGTCCCTCCCACCTTTTCTTCCACCTAGATCCTCATCTCTTTCAGGGAGGCTGCTGGGTCTGTAAATTATGAGCTGCCCACGAATTTTGATTCCCTGTCTGTGAATCGCTCTCCCCTGCTTCCCTATGGCCATCCCAGCCAACCCTCGGCTGTCTTCACCCTCGGAAGCATTCCCAGCATGCGGCTGGCGGTCAATCAGGAACCATTTTCACACTTCCCATTGTCTCTGGGACACCAGACCATGGCGCCGGCTCCACGTTTGCTGCCAGCATAGCCTTGGGAATGAGCGGGCAGTTTGGGGTTGCCATGGAGAAGCTGGGCCCTTTGGTGGTTTGAGCTGCTTAATGTGGAATAGAAGACCTGGCCCACCAGCCGGGGCAGCACAGGGCAGTGGCCTCATACCCTGGTGCCCTCTACTCAGACCCAGCCAGCCAGCTGCATCCCCATCCCCTAGGGCTATTAGCAGGTTAAAACCGTATTAAATCTAAATGATGCCAGCCTCATTCTGCGGGGGTTTTCTTGAGTTCTCATCCAGGCTCCAGCTACAAATCAGCTCCTGCCAGACTTGGTCTCCAAGCAGAGTTCTTTGTGTCCTGGTGCCTGTGTCCCCAGGGAGAGGAAGGAGCCCATTTCATAACCAAACAGAATGGCTAGACACTCACCGTGATTAATCAGAGGCTGTGCCACACTGTCCTTGCACAGAGCGTGGCTTAAATTTAAGCAGAAAATGGAGCCCACACTGAATCATCCTTCTCTGTGACAGAAGATGAGATTGTGTTAGCAAGAATGCGGCGTGTTTGGCTGGGTCCCTCCTGGAGCGGGGTGGGGTGGGGGGGCTCTTTAGCACACCTCTAATTTCTCTCCTGTGAGCTTCTCTAGAGAGCTAGGAAGACTTCCACGCTAAAGCAAAGCCACCTCTTACCTAGAACAGCAAAATTCTCTTCTCCATCTCAGACACAGGCTCCCCCAGGAGGACAGAAATAGATAGGAGACTCCGGGTGCATATTTTACCCATTTTTCGTATTTTCTTTCTTCTTCTTCATTGCACTAATTTAAGTGGTACTTCTGGATTAGAACCAGCAAGATAGGTGCCTGGGAATGCAGGAAGTCTCAGGGCTGCATTTAGAATCAAATAGAGTTAATGGTGCAGTCTCTTCCCAATGAAAAGGGAAATAAAATACCTTTCAGAGCTGGACCTCTTGCTGCTTTATGCAGGGGGCCCTGCTTTTGTTAGATGGGCTCCCCCTGAAATCCAGACCCACATGTTAAAAAGATTTTTTCAGGGGAGGCTTCCTTTCAAACACATGCAGTTAGGCTTTTGTTTTCCACTTCTCCTGTTTTATAGAGGAGATGGAAACCCAGAGATTGAGGATCCTTCCTGAGGTCACATAACTGGGAAGAGATGGTACCTCCTACTTAGAATCGGAAAGCCAGTTCTTAATGCTCAAAAACATGTTTGCTGAGGGTCCACAGTAGGTCCAAGCCTCTTACAGGGGAATTGTTTCCTCTGCTCAGCACAGCACCTGCCCTCAGGGACCCTCAGTCTGGCTGCAGAGGCAGAACTAGGCAAGGAGGTCAGAGAATGAGATGAGGCCACTTTGAGTGGGTTTCCAGCCACAGCAGACATGGCCTTCTGGATGGCAGCTGGGCCCAATGGGCTTGAGTGGCAGAGACCGAGAAGGGCAGGTCGAGGGGCAGCAGGATGGCTCAGAAGACACCAGCCTGGCAGGAGCAGATGGGACCAGCAGAGAATGGGGAGAAGGAGGCTAGAGGTTCAAATGCTGGGCTGAGAGTTTGGGCTTGATCTGGTGGGAGGCCCCACAAGAGGAAAATGGTCCTGGAGTCAAGTCCCAGTGCCTTAGCACCAAACTCCCCCAGGCTCTGCTGCAAATTTACTGTGCATCCCTTCTAACACAAGCATCTCTAAGGTCCCTTCTGCCTCTGACAGGCTGCCCATCCAAGGCAGCACATGGGAGCCCTGTAGGTTCTTCTAAGGAGAAGGGACAAGAGTCTTCTGTGGAACTGCATCTTCCCCCACCCTGCCTGTGGAGCCCTCCTCTGGACCCAGTGCCGGGAGAAAACCTCTCTTCTGATCTGGGGAGCACTTACTTCTGCAGGATTTGAAGGCGTCAGAAAGTTATCTGGGCAGCTCTGCAGGGTGTGGGGGAAACGGCGTCACATCACAGGGACAATAATAACCAGACTGAGCATACTCAAGTTTGGCGATAAGAGCAATGGTGATGATGGTTAGCATTTACTGTGTCTTTACTGCCTGCCAGCATGAGTAGGTGCCTTGCACACATTTTACATCAAATCCTGTGGGGCAGATATACCATCCTCATTTTAAGATGAAAGAACTAAGGTCCAGGGAAGTTCGTTTGCCAAGATCACTTGCAAAGTAAGTGGCCCAGGGGAAGGCTGCAACAGAGACCTGGGCCGCAGCACACTCTGCTTGTGATGGGGAGTCTTCATCACGCCAGGTCCCAGGGCTGCCTTCCCCGCAGTGCTGGCCACTTTAGCTGTCAGGCTCCCGTGGCTGCCTTCCCCGCAGTGCTGGCACGGGAGCCTGACAGCTCAAGTGGCCAGCACTGAAAGTAGGCTTGAGGTCCTGCACCTGCCAGATCCCGGAGGCAGCTTTCTTCAGACCCAGAAGGTTGAGAAAGCCAGCCAGGCAGGATGCCCCTCAGGAGGCCAGCTTGCTGAGGAAGAGTCCCAGGAAACCTCTGGAATCCTCTCCGGGCATTCTTTCCTATCTAAGGAGCATTTGTTATTTAAGCAGCTTCTCCAGGACAGGCAGGGACAAGCGAAGTAGGGAAGGTTAGGTCTCTCAACGTCAGAGAACAGTGAGGAGAAAAGTACATCAGTTCCACCAGCTTTAGGTGGGGGCAAGGGCATTGGCTGAGCTTCAGATTCTAGATTCAAGGCCCAGGAGTGTCCCTGCCCTTCCCTAAGTCTCTTAGCGAGTCTTGGTCCCCAGTTCCTCATCTATTAAGTGGAGAAGCTGCAACACCCTTGAATATGTCACAGTAGTAGTAGAAAATGTCAAGGGGTTCTTCAAATGAGGAAAGCAGTGCTTTCCCGTCAGTAGTCACAGAGAAAGCATGGAGGGAAACGTTGCTTTCTTTAGCCACCTTTTCAATTATCAACTGCTAAAAAGTCATGAAATATCTTTAAATTTTTTTTATATTATATAATACATACATTTAATGCAGAAAATATAAGTATTTATTTACATGTGTAAGTATATATTTTACATGTATATACTTGTAAACATTTTTTGGGGAAGTGAGGACAAGAGGAATTCTAAATGAGGATGCTGGTACTCACTCCTAATAGTACACATTGTTTTTTTCCCTCTAGCATTTTCTGTTGTGTGGACAGGAAATGTGTGTATTGTTTTTGTAATTTAAAAACAAAGAGGAAATGAGTCCAGCTCTTTGCATGGCAGCAGGTGCCATGTCCTCTTCCATGTGCTGGTTACACAGAGCTTCTCTGGGCTCAGCTGCTCAGGGCTCCTCATTCCTCATCCCTTAGGCTTCACCCCAGAGGACCTGGCCCGCCTCACATCCTGCAATGAATGTGTATGTATGTGTGTGTGTGCTGCTTCAGGGGATGTGCCACAATGTACCACAAAGCTTCTCCATATTTTAAGTGTGGGGCCAGGGTAGGAGTGAAGAGGGACTTTGTTCCCACATATTAGCTGGAACACATCCCGAGTTGGAGGTTGGTGACACCAAAATAATTGGAGGTAAGAACTGTAGGCCATTAAGATAAATTTTTGACATAAAAATGTAGGCTAGTTCATAAAAGGTTGCAGTGAAAATAGATTATAGTGACAGCTTTTCCACAACTGTATAAGCCTCCAGATGGAAGGGAATTCAGCATAATGAATTATGGGCAGTCTGGACAACACGACATCCTTTTATGGGCATAGATCTAAGGGAAGAA